TTTTGTTACACTTAGTGAACAATGAAGGTGAGAGTGACGGGTTGACACGAATGCCTGTCCAGGGCCAGCAACCGCATGGGAAGCAGGACAGGTGGGCAGAGCGGCAGGGACCGCAGCCAGTGCCCGCACGTCCAGAGGGAGTGGCATTTATGCGTCTGTACACTGCCTGTTTCCTCCTAGCGTTCAAACTGATCGGGCCCTTGGATTATTATAAAAATTTTATACATAATTTTTTTCCACTCCACGGGTTGTGAACAACTAAATTTTAGGCAAATTGTTTGTTAGAGAGCGCACTGATATTAACTGTCTTATTACTTCTATCTTTACATCCTAGCGTATTGTATGTGCTTATAAGGTATTCCCCTGTATAATAAATATGTAACTTAAAATCCCTCCATTATCCCCTGAAATCATTCACAAGTAAATATTATTATTGTGTGCAGAGAAGCTTCTTTAATTGCAGGACCAAAGACAGGTTTCTCTTCGGCCCTGGATTAGAGTGCCCCTGCATTCTCCTTTCATGATTAGACCTTTGGTTTTATCACCATGGGTAATGACCCTTTTTCTGTCTAGGAGTTTTCAGTACAGAATTAAGAGCACTGGCTTTGAAGTGAGACAAATCTTGCTTTGTATCTTAGCTTTAACATTTAACATATGAATGAAGTCATTTTCCTCATTTGTAAAATAAGATCATTAAACGGATCTACTTCATAGAGCTGTTTTGAGTATTAACTAAGATAATATGCACACAGCCTCTAGTACACAGTGAATATTACATAAGTTTGGCTTTTGCTATATTTTGTCATGTGGCCTAAAAGCATCACCTGGAGTCATCCATTTCTTTGCATTTGAAAATCACCCCCTCTTCACAGGGTTTGTCATCCTATAAGAGGCCGATCCTGGTTTCTCACGTTGCCCTCTGCAAGCAGTTAGGAAGCACCACACCAATACACACTACTTTTCAAGTCTCTGCTCTGTCAATCTGCTAATGCCCCATTGGCCAAAGCAAGTCACATGGCCAACCCCAACGACAAGGAGAGGAAATGGACTTCAACTGTTCAAGAGGGAGGCTGCTAAATATTATGGCCACTTTTTTGTTAATTACCACAAATACTAAACAATAAATAGATTCCTATGATCTTGAGGGAAAAAAACAATCTTCTTTATGCTGATAATAAAGCTTTGATTATGCTTAATAAGGATTTAATCATTTCTAAGCCCTGAGAGGTGACTTAGAAAGGTATTCTCTCCTGGCTGGCGTAGCTCAGTGGATTGAGCGTGGGCTGAGAACCAAAGTGTCATAGGTTCCATTCCCAGTCAGGGTACATGCCTGGGTTGCTGGCCATGATCCCCAGTACCGCACATTGATATTTCTCTCTCTCTCTGTCTCCCTCCCTTCCCTCTCTAAAAATAAAAATAAATAAATCTTAAAAAAAAAGAAAGGTATTCTTATTCCCATTTATAGGTGAAAATAGGTGACATTTGAAAAGTTTAAATGCCATGCCTGAATCAGCTTGGACTAGATTTTAAAGGCTTCTGCTTGAAGTAATGGTTCTTCCTACAGCACTAGACTTGGCTTATGAAAAGACTCTCTTTTTAAATTTGTGACAGTTTGGTAGCATGACTTTGTTTATAACTGTGGTCCAGTGGTCATTAGTTTCCCAGTGAGCTTGATGCTTGTGCTTGATTCTTAAGACACAGGAACAATCCCTTTACAAAATAGAAGACATCTGACTCTTATAACTTTGCAACCTAATTCTAGCCTCAGTTGTAGTGTTTGTCTTTTTGAAAACATCATAACCTATCTTTTTCAATGAGCCATATTGTGAGAGGGTGGATTGCTTGTTGAATAGTTAAATGGGCTCATAGTAAGTGCCCCGTTTCAATTTCACTGAATAAAATTTACTGTTGTCCTTGCCCTAGACAAGAAATTGGGATAAACAGTAGCCCTGAAGTCCTCAGAAATTGTATGGTCACTTACTTACAAGATTATGTAAGACCAAGGTCAAGGTTCTATTTTAGAGCTGCATAACCATGACCCACAGTGGTTTCATCATTGTGTTTGAAAACAGTGCAATGTAAACCTAAAATTCAAGTTACTCACATTCCTGCCATCCTACCCTTGTTATTTATTTATTTTTGGTTGAAAAGATTATTTATAATGTTTATTTGTATTACAGTTTATAACTTTCACATACTTCCTTTAATTATCACAGAAGAATGGGGTATATAATAATACTATTACAAAATCTCTTTCTCATTATGGATGAGAAAACTTGGCTCCAAAAGGTAGAGTACTTTCCTGAGATCACACAGCCACAAATGAGTGGAGCCCAAACTGAATGTGTCACCCCACCCACCACCACTTGTAGGTGGGGTGACACCCATGTACATGATTTCTGACTCAATGTACATGATTTCTTCATCGTCATATCTTCTCAGTTTACCTTTCCAAAGTGATGGAGAATGTGCTGACTTCATTCCAATCTCCAATACTGTTTATTTTGGGTTTAATTATATACTGAATTACACTGTTATTTAATGGTTTCATAAGTTTTTATTTTTTAATGATATGGTAAGCTTTTTCTAAGCACTCCCTTCTCCCCCCAACCCCCACCTCTGATTCTCCCCCATCATTCACTGTCCTGTTGGAACCTAGAAGGCAGGCAGCAAACACTTGTAGGACCAGACTGGCTGCTCACTAGGAATGACGGGAGCTGTCAGGCAGGGTTGGACAGTGATTGGTGTTTTACTGCCTCGTGTACTGGCCTCCTTAATGGAAGCATCTGTCAAGGCCAGGCTGCCCACAGTAACTCTCAGGTTTGTTTTTGACCCTTCTATTTATGCTTCCCTAAAGTACATCTGCTCACATCCTACCCTCATCCACAATTATTAGGCCCCACGTGGTGAGTTTAAAATAGCTCATATGCACCATAGTAAGACATTTGAGGCATATTACAGGGACCTTCCCACAAGCTGAGGTCTGTGAAGGTCATCATCTCCTGAGGCCTGTGGTGAAGGTGTAGGCAGCTTTTGATAGCCGCAGGGTACCATTCCTTGGTCAGCAGAAAGCCATCCCTTCCCCCAGTCATTATCCCAACCCCTCACTCCCCTCCACTGTGAGGGCCGCGTGCTTCACCTTGGCTCAGCATGCCAATCATGCATTCTATTTTGAGGTTACCTAGTCTTCAACTTAGTGAGGCCACATGATGTGCAACCCACTCAGTTTTCCTAGGTTTGCACATCTCCATTGTTTTTTACTGAACTTAGTTTCATGTGGTTAGGAAATGTCAGCATTTCAGCACTCTCCTCATCTTCTTCTTACCAGTTCCTTTCAAGCTTCACTAACACTGCTGTGCATGGTTGGGTTCTTTGTAGGTATTCATTCTTCTATTCACATTTAATTGCAGACACTTTGCTGAGTGCTGGGGATATTATAGAAAGCGAAAGATTCCTGTGTTTAGAGTTGTTATGGACTGGTAGGGAAGAGGTACTTAAATGATTAGACAGCTAAATGGGGGTTGCAATTCTGGTAGGTGCTACAGTGGGAGAGACACATGATGATCCACCGGGCTCCCCTCAAATCAGGCAGGTCAGAGAGCTTGCTGGGGAAGGGACTTTGGAACTGGGATCTGAAGGCAGAAGAAAGCTTATGATTCATGCAGGAGAGAGTCAAGTAAATGGGAAGTTATGACACAACTGACCCATCCCTCCAACTAATATCAGCAAATATGGCCCATGTGTCAAGAACAGTAATGGATGGACAAGTATAGTGGCAAGGGCATGGGGGGTTGACATTGCCTGAGAGAATTAGGGAAGATGCCCCTGAACAGTATCCGTTAAATTCAATAAAAAATGGTGAGTAGAAATTGAATGAGTAGAAATTGTATGAAGAAGAGGAAGCGAACAAAGACATCCCATGAGAGCCTGCAGAATGGCCCAGCAATGTAGAGAAGCAGGAGGGAGGCCGAGCAGCTGCAAGGGGCAAAGGGACAGGCAGGGACACACTGTGAGTGGTCTTTCAGGCAATGGCAACATCTTATACTTATGCATAATCGTTCCTACTGATGCGTCTAAAACCTCTTCCCTGGGATAAAAATTTTTTCCCACCAACTTCAGATGTGATCAGGCCACTCAGGGTGGTATGGCCAAAGACTTTTTCCACCAACTTCAAAAATAAAATACTATTTTAAAGTCCAACTGATGTGAACATATGAAAATGAAATTACAGGAGAACACAACTCTTTCCACCAATGATGCCTGGCTGGGGCGGGGGTGGGGGCTGTCTAAAAATGACTTGAGTTGGTAGACTCCATGTTGAAGCTCAGAACAAACGAAAACTGAAGGAGGACACTTAGGAGAGTTGTGTCTTTTCACATTGGTGGCACTGACACGTTTCCCCTTTCCCTTCATGTTGAGTTTCCGGACGGTGAGCTGGGTACTCCTGCTTTGTGAACTTCCTCAGATCCAGGGAACTTACCCTCACTCCCTTTCTCATCTGACTTTCATCATCTGTAGTCAGGTACTTCAGTCAAAGTCAGCTTCAAAGAATGTGAACTTAAATTTTAAATTTTAAATATGGGTTTCCATTTTTTTCACTTTCCTTAATCTTTTCTATACCAGACAGGATCAGTAATAGGTATTTGATGGACATAGTTCCCAGAGGCCTAAAGTGAATTTTATCTCAATAGCCTACTTTGGTTCTTTTCCAGGTGAAGGAATGAGGTGTTTTGTTTTATTTTTTTCCCCCAGCAAACCTGCTATACCTATTTGCTGTACAAACACAAGACCCTTTGGATTGCCAATATGTTTGTTGTCTTGCAAATTTTTCTTTTGCAGTCAAGAAAAAAAGTCAAGTTATATAATTAGTATGCTTGCTTATCACCACAGAAGGAAAAAAACAAAGAATTTATTATGTGGTTGATTCAGATGGTGACTAAGAAATAGAATTCTACTAAGGCATGGATTATCATGACCGAATATTTATTATTCTAATACAGGATGAAGAGGAAGAAATCAAGCAAGAAATTAACATGTTGAAAAAATATTCTCATCATCGGAATATTGCTACATATTATGGTGCTTTTATTAAAAAGAACCCACCTGGCATGGATGACCAACTTTGGGTATGTAGTGCTCTCCAAATTTACTTTTCTTACATGAAGAACAAGCAGCACTAAATGGTCCATTTCCCTGTCCTCATGACTAACTTTGATTAAGGAACTCCTTAGAAACCCTTAGCCCCGTGATTTCTATAATTTTGTGTTTTCAAGAGTTTCTCCCATTTTCTTGACTACCTCTCTGTATTCTTAGTATCTCTGCCTTCTATCTCTTAATGTGGACCATCCTTAAAACCAGTTGTTAAGTTCTCTGTTTTGTTCCCATTAATAACTACTTATATTGAGTTTTTATTATACTTCAGGCATCGTGCTATTTTTTCTGGGTTATATCATTTATTCTGGCTCTTTGAAGTTGATACTGTTATTCTCATTTTTGGGGTGATGCAACTAAGGTTAACAGAGAGGATAAGCAAACTGTCTCAATGTCTAAATAACTAGAGATGGTGGAGCTGGGATCCAAGGCAAGCTCTACACGAGTGCTTCTCTTATCACCGATGTGTGGATGACTGAAATTTAAATTCTAATTCTATGAGTAAAACACTAAGACAGTGTCCGATATCATGTAGGAACTCTCAAAGGTTGCTTTCCTTTTCTACTGCCCCTTGTCCACTCAGATATGTACCCTAGTCCTGTATTTTTGACAGTCTAAGACATGACGCTAATTGAGCATCCCACCAATAGTATGTTCAGTGTGTCTGACAGCAGAACCACTACTCCTATCCCTGTCCTGCCCAGCATAGATTGCTCTTCTTCTCCTTTTCCTGATTTCTACCATTGGAAGTTTTATTTATTTTGTTCTGTGGGAAGGCTGCAACGCTGTCTTGGTTTGACCTTCATCTGTCAATTTTATAACCACCATTACTATAGGCCCATTGACTCAGTGACAGCCTGGATTCTGGAGCTGCTTGATCTCTCTCTCTCTCTCTCTCTCTCTCTCTCTCTCCCACACACACACACACCCCTCTGTTCATCTCATATGATGCTCTTATATTAATAACTACAAATACACCCTTTTAACTATTTATCATCTTGCTCATTTTCCAGAAGTCTTAATATGTGTCTTACACACAAAATTCACTGAATTATCCAGTGCTTACTATACATCAAATTATTGATTAAACGATGTATATCCAGTTACCACTGTTTCATAGATAACTTGCCATAGAACTCAGTCTTGGACGGAAGTTACTCCTTTAATGCATAAGACACTTAGAGCCCAGGTGAGGAGCCGAACAGACAGTGAACACAAATGGTGCTTAAAAAGATGTAATAATGTCTGTTGGCTCAGAAAAACAAGATTTCCATGTCATTTGATATTGAATACTATAATCTTTGGAAATGGAAAGATCTGCTGGGAATTTCCCCCCCGATAAGACTTAATCTCTAAATTCAAAATAAGAAATGTATTTTGGGATAAGTAAATTCACTTTGTATGATCACATTGATTTTACATATTTTTATGTGATTTATAAAAGAGTTACAGGAAGATTTTAACTGTGGCCTCTTAAATGTGTATTAGCTGTAAATGTGACAATTAAAATGTAGAAATCATAAAAGAAAAGAAATGTGACTCTGTAATACTAAAGAGAGATATATAAAATTTTTATTGTAAAATCATAATAAACAAAGGAAAAATGCAAATAGCCAATTTAGGGAAAATATTCATTTAATCTGCCATGACAAAGAATTTAGTAACTTAAAGGTGAAGAGTTTTTATAAATCCATAGGAAAAATGCCCTGGCTGGCGTAGCTCAGTGGATTGAGCACGGGCTGCGAACCAGGCATCACAGGTTCGATTTCCAGTCAGGGCACCTACCTAGGCTGCAGGCCATGACCCCCAGCAACCGCACATTGATGTTTATCTCTCTCTGTCTCCCCCCTCCCTTCCCTCTCTAAAAATAAATAAATAAAATCTTTAAAAAAATTGTATTAGTCAAGTGACTTGCACAAAAAAAAAAACTTCAAAGAAAAAAAAATCCATAGGAAAAATATGAAACTACTAATTGATTAAGTTAAGAACAAGGCAATAATTAATATAAGAAGTATCAATTACCAGTTAAGATGTTTTTAAAATGTAATCTTACTAAAAATATAAATGCAAAAGTAGATGGGAATTAGATAACACTTCTTACTGAGTAGAATGGCAGAGCTTTTGTGTTTAAATGACATGACCAGAACAGATATGCACAGCCCCACTTGTGGAAATGAGCTTCATTCAAAAGCAATCGAAATATATACAGATATACACACAGAGAGATACACTGTATGTATCTCCCAAAGAAAGTACTTTTACTTTAAAATGACCTAGTAATAAATATTTGGGCAACTACTGAAAGATGTATGTAGATGGGAGCCAATAGGGAATTGCTTAAGCAAATTCATTAAGGGATGCTATTCAGCCAGTTAAAATGATGTAGATTTGAATGAGCATTAACAATGATAGTGGGATTTTAAAAGCTATTTATAGAGGCTATGATTAGATATTATGTTCCCATTTTGGTTAAAAAAGAAAGGGAAAGATGTCTAGAATAATATTCACCAGTGGTGTTGAAGATATTTGTATCTCAGCAGTAATTTCAGTAATTGACTTTCTAAAACATTTTTCTTTGTCATGTCTGCATTTTTATCCCCTAAACTTTCTTTTAAATTCTAAAATCAGAGCCACTGCTGCTGTTCCTTCTTTTTTTGTTGCCTTTAATTGAGCTCTCTTTGCTCCTCATGCAGACAGCGCTCTGAGAATGAGGAGCACGCCTTTTGCATCTCAGTGTGCCCTCAGTGCTAGGGAGTCTGGGGCAGGTGATGCTGACAAAATAGTTGTTTTGTGAATGAAAGTAATATTATTGATACAGACTTGGTTGTTATTATTATTGTTGTTATTATTTTTTATATAAATCTGAGTGCTACAGGTACTTTTGGAAGTTCAAAATATCCTGCAGGTTCAAGAGGATATGATGAGGCGGCACAAGCCTGAAGAGCTATCGATGGCAGGTGGAGATTGATAGCTATTTTAATGTTGTCTGTTGAAAAGGTTTTTGTTTGGTCAGGACTAGAGTTCCAAATTAAAAGAAAGCATTGACAGAGCTTTGGAATCAAGTTCCAGCTTATCACCTGAGGTACTATAAATATTTCTAGATGAGTCGCACCTAATTGTTTACATCATTTCTTTTGTGAGGTGGGCCAGATAAGATTGTTGGTTTTCACTTTAGGTGGAATTCTTATTTAAAGTGAGGGTACTGTTTACAAATTGCAGTTGAGATAAGAGAATGATCAAGCAGGCTTAACTCATTTTCACCTTTTTCTTAATGCAGAGATTTTCAAAGCTGGAAAGCAAATTAGTTGTCATTTATTTTGGTGGGTCTCAGTCAAGTTCATGGACTAACCCTCCCCCCCGCGAGATCTCAAAGCTTATTAATGGAGGGATGCAGCACCAGAATGCAGGCAGGCATCCTACAACATGAAGATGTAGCTTGGCCTGAAGTTCTGTGAAAGGCAATGAACTTTTTTCTCTTTTTTTAGTGAGCAAAATCTGCATTCCCTTTCAGATGGTACTGGGGACAAGCAGGAAGCCTGTTTGCTTCTGCAGGGCTCAGAGAGGAGGTTTTGTACTCTGGAAACGAGTTGTTGCCTGCCAGTTCTCACTTTAGCCAGTTGGTTATTGGGAACCAAGAGCCTACAAGTGTATGTGTTCATTTAATCATTCTCCATTCATTCATCCAACAAATATATATGTATATCAAATACTTGAGAGCTGCAAGGCATTCTTCTAGGCACTTAGAATAAATTAGTGAGCCCTGACTTTCATGCAGCTTTATCTTCTTGAAACAGACCACAAACAGTAAGTTTTATGTTCATGAAAACTATAGGGACTGCTGAAAGCTAAACCTTCCTGGAAGAGCAGGGAAACATTAACAGGAATGCAGATAAGGGTTGCAGTGATGGGTACAGTGGCCACGTGAGCCCTGTGGAATATGTGAGAGATGAGACCTGAGGCCTGATCATGCAGCACCTTACAGGCCGTTGGAAAGACATCTGCTTTTTCTCTGAATGAGGTAGTGTTGGTGGGGTGGGAGGGCATTGGAGGGTTTCGAAGGTGGAGGGATGGCATTTGATCCACAGATTGAAGGGGTCCCCCTGGTGGCTGGGTTGAGACTAGCATGAATGGGGGCCAGAGTAGAAGCAGGAAGACCAGTTAGAAGACTGTTTTAGCAATCCCCTTCCTGATTTGGCAAAGGGGCTTCAGTGATGATCACTTCCAAAACCAGGTCACATGGAGAGAAACCCTTCCTTCACTTCTCATTTTCCTACCTGTAATTAAATGCAGGGGGCAAAATGTGGCTATTATAGACCCCACATTCTGCTTGGAAGACAGAGGGCCTAGCATTTGTCAGATTTGTGCCTGTGCATAGGATTGTTCTGACCATCCCCACTAGCTTCTATGTCCCTGGAGGTAAAAACACAAAGCTATGAAATGCCTCATGAGGGCGAGAGTATCACTTCTTTTTTCTATTTACACGTCTTCTATTTGATGACAAACTAAGGGGGCACTCGGAAAAGTAAAGGCAAGAGAAACATAATAATTGGGAAATTAATAGCAGATTACAATATCGGTGGGGACTTAGTTATAGAATATAAAAGTGTATACTTATTCCAAGGCCTTGGACTCACTCAGTTTGGGCCATTTTGTGTTAATAACAACAATGGCAGGTAATATTTATCACCTACTTATCGTGTGCCAAGTACTACATTCGTTTGCACTATCATATTATGTCACTAGATCTTTACAGCCATTCTACAAACTGGATATTATCATGCCCCCTACTTTACAGATGAGGAAACTAGGCTCAGAGAAGTTGGGAAATTTACCCCCGGTCTCAGAGCCAGTGTGATGAAGCTAACCCCTTGCTGCCTGATGCTGGAATTAAGCCCCTGAACCCTCCTTTTCATTGTAAAAAAAAAAAAATTCCACACCAAATTTGGTGTTCCAAATAGGATCGAAGCTCTGTGTT